GGCCAATAGTAACCTGCCCTGATTAAGGTTCTTACCAATGATCTTCCTCCAGCGTGATTTCCATAATGCCCCTCATGTATTTCCCTCATTATGTATTCTGTTTGAGAAGGACCGAGGCACCTATCTAAGGGGCCACCGAACATTTTACGATATAAGTTGCCTTGATTTAAACAGTAGCGAGCAGCCTTTTTGCGAAGTGCATGGGCTTTTTTCTTGTCATCAGGGACGGTTCTATACGGCAAAAAAACTACAATCTTGTTACTCCAATCCCAAGTTAAATTATTAAAATTTACCTCATTCTTGTCAGGGTCGAGAACTGAATGAAATAAATGAATAGCTGAGGTATTTGCATTGCTTGCCACGTCAGCCGCAGATGCGAGATTAGCTAAAGCGTCTGCTTCAAGATTTTCATCCCTTGGTATTTGTGCAACTTTCCAAGTTTGAAATTGCCTTATTAGCTCCTGCACCTTTTCTAAATATTGCTGCATCCTTGCTTCCCTGGCTGTATAAGTCCCCAGCATTTGATTAACCACGAGTTGCGAATCGCTCTTGATTATAATCTGATTTATGCCAAGTTCTCGTGCCAGTTCTAAACCTGCTCCTTTTACATTAGATGAACCATCAACGAATAAAGTCCAAGTTCCTGGATTAGCTCCATTGAACACCTGTAATTCTTTTTGTGCTTCTAATTGCATGACGTTGCTAAAATCAGCCACGAAATCTGCTAACGCTATTGATTTTATAGCAGTTCTAGGTTGGTACGTGATTTCGTATTCACTTAACTCTATTGCCCACTTAGCCAACCTACCTGATAATTCATGCTTATGCAATATATTACGTAAAGCATAGGCGGTTACTACAGCAATAAGATGACACTGAAAGTAAGGCCTTAACTTCCTGGATGCCATGATTAATGCAAGTGCAAGCTTTTCTAATTGAGGATACCGCGTTTTCGCATCTAGCAAAGATTTACTAACATAATAGATATGGGATTGTTTACCTTGTTCTTCTCGAACCAAAACCGCACTTACCGCTACTTCCGAAATAGCAAGGTAAATGAGCAGTCTTTCCCCAGCCTTTGGTTTTGCTAGTAATGATGGATTTGGTAAGTACACTTTCAAATTCTTGAGTGCTTGCTGACACTCTTCATTCCATTCAAAACGATCCTGCTTCTTAAGAGCTGAGAAGAACTGAAAACATTTCTCTGATGGTTTAGAAATGAACCTTCCCAAGGCTGCAATCCTTCCTGTTAATCTTTGAACTTCTTTTTTGCTTGTAAGTATTTCAGGGACTGCCTCAATGGCCTTAATCTGTGCAGGATTCACCTCAATACCACGGTTAGAAATAAGAAAACCTAAAAATTTACCTGATGCCACACCAAATGCACATTTTTCAGGATTTTAACTTCATGTTATATTTTCGCAAAATTTTAAAGGTTTCAGATAGATGCGATATATGATCTCCTGAATGCTGAATTCTAACAAGCATATCATCTATATATACCTCCATAGTTTTTCCCAAATGCTCTTGAAACATTTTGGTAACTAACCTCTGATACGTTGCTCCTGCATTCTTTAGACCAAAGGGCATTACTTTATAACAGTAAGTCCCCCTGTCTGTTATGAAGGAAGTTTTTTCTTCATCTCCTGGATCCATTTTAATCTGATTATCCCTGAATATGCATCTAAAAAACTTAATAGTTCATGACTTGCAGTTGCATCAATCAATTGATCTATGTGTGGCAGTGGAAAAGAATCTTTAGGGCAGGCTTTATTAAGATCTGTGTAATCTACACAAACCCGCCACTTACCGTTCTTTTTTGGAACTACAACAGTGTTGGCTAACCAGTTAGGATACTTTACCTCACGAATAGAGCCAATTTTTAGCAATTTTTGGACTTCTTCTTGAATCACCTGATTCTTGAAAGTTCCTTGCTTTCTTTTCTTTTGCTTGACTGGAGGGTATGATGGATCTTCATTCAATTTATGAGTCATGACCTCCGGTGGTATCCCTGTCATTTCAGAATGGGACCAAGCAAAACAATCTGCATTAGCTTTTAAAAATTCAATCAATTTACGCTTTACCTCCGGGCTAAGATTAGCTCCTATATACACTTTTCTATCGGGCCAATGTATAGATAAAACCACAGCCTCTAACTCTTCTATCGTTGTTTTGATGTTATCGTTCTCTTCTGGTTCTTGAATGGTATCAGGTCTTGAATCCACATCTGTTTGCGCTTGTTCAGTTGAGGTTGACACCGTATTACCCTCACCTGAATTCTGTAATTGCTATTTATCTTCACCCTTAACAGTTGAATCTGCAACGGAATTGATGCTTCCAGATGTCTGTTGATCGCCTCTGATTTGACATATTCCCCATGGTGATAGAAATTTAATAACTTGACGCAAAGTTGAAGGAACAACGTCCATCTCGTGGATCCATGGTCTCCCAAGAATCATATTGTAAGCCATCTCCATGTCTACTACCTGGAACTTTGTGTCTTTGATGACTCCTTCAGCAAATGTGGTGAGCGTTACCTCTCCTTTTGTAACGACGCTGGAATTATCAAACCCAGATAGAGTATGTGCCTTTGGTATTACTTTTTTCTTCAGCTTGCATCTCACGCAATACTCGTATCAAAATAATGTTCACAGAACTACCTGGATCAATCAAAACTCGTTTCACGTTAGTGTCATGTACAAGTAAAGATATTACCAGTGCGTCGTTATATGGAGTTAATAGACCCTCGGCATCTGCATCATCGAACGTAATATTTTCTCCCTCCAAGACATGTCGAGGCCGCTTCCCGTGGGTAATTGTTACTTTTGAAACCTTTTTATATGATACATCGTTGATCTCTTCACCCCCACTTATAACGTTGACAGTTCTCTTGGGTGAAGGTGGTTTTGGAGGCTCTTGCCTGTTCTTCATGTATGCTTGTTTACCTTTTTCACTGAATAACTCAGTGAGATACCCCTGTTTTAGCAAATGATCAACTTCACCTTGCAGAAACCTGCAATCTGCTGTTTTATGCCCGTGATCGTTATGAAATTCGCACCAATGATCAGGGTTTCGTCTGTTTGGATTCGATCGCATTTCCTTTGGCCACCGTACCTTATCTCCCATGCTTCTTAAAACAGCTACGAGTTCAGAGGTGCTTACGTTGAAGTTGTAACCACCGAACCTTGCCTTTAGACTTCCATCATCATCTCGTGACCCGCGTGTGTTTCGATCATTCCCAAACCTTGATGAGGAGCTTGATTCCCTGTTTCTAGGTTTGTGATCGTACCTTTGATTATCTTGCCTTGACCGTGAGTCCTTCCCCGCAGGTCCCATGTAAGGCTCGTACCTGTTTTTACCAGATCTTTTTTCATTTTCTACACGCCTTGAACTTACTTTTTCTTCTGTTTTATGTCGTAAAATAATATCTTCTTCAATCCTCATCTTTGTACTGTATCTGTTGTAGACATCATTCCACGTTGTTGCTGGGAATTCTCGAAGGCTTTCCTTGAGTCGTCTCGTAGCTTCTGAACTCTTCTCATTCAAATTGCTGGTGAAGGCTATGGCCGCCCAATTGTCAGGTACTCGTGGCAACGTCATTCTTTCCCGTTGAAATCTGTCCACGAATTCTCTAAGCAACTCCGAATCTCCTTGCTTGATTTTGAAGATGTCTTCCATTCTCTTTTCAACTTTTTGAGCTCCCAAGTGTGCTTTGATAAATAAATCTGCAAGCTCAGCAAAAGAATTTATAGAATTTTCAGGTAAAAGAGAATACCATGTTATTGCCCCTTTAGTGAGTGTTTCACCGAATTTTTTGACCAAGACTGATTCAATCTCCTGCTTAGTCAAATCATTGCCCTTGACACCTGTTGTAAATGCAGCAACGTGATCTCGCGGGTCGTTGTCCCATCATACTTTGGAATATCAGGCATCTTGAACTTCTTTGGAATTGGGAGAGGGGCGGCACTTGGCTTCCAGGGCTGTTGAGAATATTTATCTATATCTACCCCCTTGATCACGGGCGGTACTCCGGGTATTTGTTCTCTGCGGTCATTTTGCTCCTTAAGCTGTTTCTGCAATGTTAGTACTAGATTTTGCAAATCAGAATTAACTGGATTACCTGGGTCTCCCTCCTGTGTTTCGCTGGGGGTTCCACCGCTACCTGAATTAACCAGTCCAGAGCGAGGATGCTCCAAAGTATTGTTGTTTGGAGTAGGTGTGGGTGGAGCAGCAGGTAATTGATTAACAAAAGCTTGCAGGGCTTTGTTGACCTGAGTAGCGATAATTTTTGGTAAAGCATCATCCATAGCTTCAACATTCTCAAATTGAACGTGTTCTTCAGTGTGAGATCCTTCAGGAGTTCCTTCACGAGACCGTCGTGGTGAACCTTGTGGAGAAGGAACTAATGCATTATTGTTTCGCAGATCTCCCTAAAGTTGTTGGTTCATATGATTTTCTTGGTTTCCTTGGATGTTGTCATTGTTGTTCGACATAGTTGATACAACACAGAAAATCAAGTTGAGATATAATTGATTATCAGATTTCCGGTAACGGAACTAATTTGTTTAACCAAAAAATAGATTTTTAGTCAAAGCTAGAATTTAGAAGAATAGGGGTTACTGATAATCAGGAAAGTATGTAGAGAAAGAAATTTGTGGATAATATGATCAGAAAGCAAGTAAATCAAAGTATATTCCAATAGTGTTTTCTTGTGTCTACAGTTGTTTGTTCCTTCCCCTTTTATAGCTATTTTGGGGATACGAGCCTTACCTTTGTTATAATAAGGCTATTATGGGCAGTTATTGACTTTAATGTTACGTTATGCAATCATATACATTAAGTACATATTCTCTAACGTTTCCAGTATTTAATACTCATTAAATGTTGTATCTGGGCTCTTTTTTGTTGTCAGATTCATTCCTTTGACTCTTCACGATCTTTGACCTTTAAATGTCTTGAATAGGTACGTCGTTGAATTACTTGTATGACTGCTCGCGCCTCCTCCATTTAACTTGCTTGTATCTGTTGTTGCTCGTATCTGTTAACCAACCTTAATTCTTTGACTGTTTGACCAGTCTACGTGTCATGACACGTCACCATATACATATAAATACAGTTTTCCCCAATACAGGAGGGAGTGAAGATCAAGGCACAAGTTAGAATATACATCTAAGCTTAAGGTACATATATATAGTTGAGCACTAATCCAATCAGATATATATTTAGATTAAGATATCTTAATATTGATATAACATCTTAATTCAGATGTGTATTTAGATTCAAACGACTTAACCATAACAAAAACAAATGAGGTCTTACTATATAGCGGCTAGCTGTTTATAAAATTTTATTTCCAAAAGATCTTAAATGGTCAGTGCAGAAGCAAAATACAATTGGCAAAATAGTATGTATACCTTGTGTAATTTTTTCATGTTTCATTTTTCTTTTTATTTCGTAATCTCTTGTAACTCTCGTTTGTTTTGTAACTCAGAATTTTGTGCGACTTATTAGAGAGAGAGAGAGAGGTACCTAAGTGAGAGAGGGAGCTTAGGGAATAAGTGAGGTTTTCTCAAATGGGTAGGGAGAGTGGTCATGTAAAACATATCTGCCCAGTCTAATTTTTGCTCTTCAGAAAAGACAAAGTTTTGTCCATATCCTTCAACATCCCCTTCTACTTGCTCAAACTTCTTCTTCTCTTCCAATGGTAGATCGAAAAATGCTCGGATTTCTGACTTCACTTCCTCCACCAATGATGAACTCACTCCATGATTCACCAACTGAAACGATTATTAAAAAGATTTTTAAATTTTGTTATAACATAAATATGTTCTTTGGGTGGTAGTTGTTGATGACTAATAAGTCATCACTAACAAGGTGGATATGCAGTTGAAGTTACGGATTTGGCAGAATCCAATAGATTTAGCTCAAATCTTATGTATTTATTTAATAATGCTACTTAATATGTATGAATAATTTATCCAAATAACCAAACAAGATTATGAGTCCAGAAACCAAAAACTTAAAATCCTGAATCCCACTTCTGATCACTAACCATTTAGACCATTTCTTAAAATCTTAAAATCAGCAAGCATTTGATCATTGAAATATATGTACCCGAAAAAATCCCCATTCTTTGCAAGCAAAATGAAGCCTCCGAAGCTCTGAATCATCATTTCCAATGGCCAGCAGTTTTTCCATGTCAATTACTGGAACTTGAGGCAATATGGATGAGGAATTGGATGTCAAAACAGACGTTTCGATATCATCACGATCGCGGCGGAACGGCTACTTGTTGCTTTGCCAGCTCTTGGACGCTAGGAACTTTCAATGCGCTACCTAGCTTTCTCGAGCTTATCGATAAATGAGGTTTTTTCTAAGAGAAGTTGTTTTAGATAGCAAACGTATAGAGTTCGATCTGGAATTGTAAGTGTGCTCGTAAAATATATACACATGTTCATACTCACATGGACTCGCTCAACCCTGTTGAGTTCCTTCTTTTGTAAGAATGGTAACAATATTATATATATGTGTAGTACAAAGGATTGTATCAGGCCATCTTTACAGTTGATAAAAAAAACCAAAAGCCAAAGCTTTTTCCTAGCTCCTACTACAGAAATTATTTAAACTTTTGCTGGCGTTAATAGACAATGACAAATTGAGGTAGTGATGCACGTGATCCAAAGAAAGAAAACATTCTTTTGTAGTTCTCGAAAAAATCCGTGGAATAATCCAGTTGCCATCTTCACAACTAGGGCTATTTGAATATTTCACATGTTACTTGCCAACTTTCAAAAACCATTTGCAGCATAATACCACTCCAATATCCACCCTTATTGACTGCATACCATCACTGAATATATCTCTCATTTCCTTTTCATCCATCCTTAAAGCCTTTGCCATTTGAGATAGGATGCTTATTGCTAGGCTCTTGATTTCTTTGCAGTATGCTTCCATGATGTCCCTGCATTTCCAGAGTAGCATAGCCATAATCATGTTGCATTTTTTACCACATCTAAATTAAATTTATGATCTAAAATGCAGCACCACATTGTTAACACATCCTTCCATGCGATTTAAAACTCAGCTTTAAGATTATCGGTGGAGTATGTTAGAATAATCTTAAATCTAACCATATGTACATTAGAGTTAAGTTCTATTCGCTGAAAGTATACAAATATTACACATTCAGGTTACTTTAAACTTTTAAGGTACTTACAAGTAAATCCCAATGATAAACATTGATTCATAACTTGGTAATTTTATGGCTATCAATGTATTATCCATATCAAGAGACGTTACAAATACTATACAAAGGGATCTTGGTCCCTCCTCCACTACAACAATGCTTAAAGTATCTAATCATATTATATAAAACATTTAGAGTAGTAGAGTGAAGATCAATGCACACGTACTCAAAATACAAGTTCTACGGAAGAGTATATAAGAATAAGTTCGGTATTCCAAGCAACATTAAGGCACAAGAAATATTATGGCTCAAGTTACAGATTCATCCTTCTCATTTTGTGTTTGTAAATTATGAACTTACAGATCTTACAACCTATTTTCTTACAGGTCCCAGGAGGATAAAAGAAAGGCACCTTACTCCGGTTCAAGAATGGTCCAACTGTTGAGGGATTTGAACTTTTTCCCTTTATTATATTAAGACCTCAGTAGAAAGATAGAGAGGAGAGATCCGGCACCTGAGCTTTAAAGGCAACTTTTGAAACAAGTTCCGGATATGCGGGGGAAGAGTGGTTATGCCAAACATATCGCTCCAATCAAGCTTTTGCTCCTCTGATACAACATTTAGCTGCCCAAACCCCTCATAGCTGTCTTCCTGTTGCCATAGCTTCTTCTTTTCTGCCATTGGAAGTTTGAACAATTCTGTGACCTCTCTCTTGAACTCCTCCAGTATTGAAGGTGTCAGTCCGTGGTTTATAACCTAACTTCAACAAATAAATGCTAGGAGATTTTACAAGCTTTACACAGTTAAAGCTTAGTTCAACCAGAAACAAAGTCTAAATGAGAAGGAAGGGAACATGGAGTCTTATGTTTTATCATGTCTTCGATGTTTAACTCGAGCAAAATAGATGAAAATTATGTTAAGAATCTTAATAGAAAAGTGGAAAAGGACCGAATGCAACTAAAAAAATTATATTGATGTCAAGAAAGTGTACTTAATATTTGTCATTAAATTAAAAATATTTTAGACTTGTCTGTCCTGTAATTAATGAAAAAGCAATAATTTCAAAACTAATACAATATGATAAAACATTGTAGTAAAATCTAGATTTTAATAGCTTAATGAATTAGAATTCTTGAAACTAGTTAGAGTTGCATATTACTAGTGGTAAATATATTAACAACAACAACAACCCAGTATAATCCCACAAGTGGGGTCTGGGGAGGGTAATATGTACGCAGACCTTACCCCTACCCCGAGGGGCAGAGAGGCTGTTTCCAGGAGACCCTCGGCTCAAGAAATCAACAAGAAACGATATATTAGTACTATCAATAGACTCATAATAAAATAACATAGAATACATAACATAACATAAAATAACAAAATAACAGCAGTATAAGAAATATAGGAAATACGAAAAGGATGGAAAGTATACTATTAACCAACAGATAAAGCCCAGCATCAGTAGCTGATCAGAAGCATCCTACGACTAACTCCTAACTGGCTAGTCTCACTTTAGTGCGCTGTAGAAATATTCACAACTTCTCCCTAACCTACAACCTTAATGCTCGACCTCCACAATTCCCTGTTAAGGGCCATGTCCTCAGTAATCCTAAGTCGCGCCATGTCCTGCCTGATCACCTCTCCCCAATACTTTTTAGGTCTCCCTCTACCTCTCCTCGTGCCCACCACAGCCAGTCACTCACACCTTCTCACTGGTGCATCAGTGCTCCTCCTCTGAATGTGCCCGAACCATCTGAGTCTTGCTTCCCACATCTTGTCCTCCATGGGGGCCACACCCACCTTCTCTCAAATATCTTCATTCCTAATCTTATCCATCCTTGTATGCCCACACATCCACCTTAACATCCTCATCTCTACAACTTTCATCTTCTGGATGTGTGAGTTATTAACCGGCCAACACTCGGTCGCATACAACATGGCAGGCCTAACCACTGGTCTATAAAACTTACCTTTCAGTAACGTTGGCACTTTCTTGTCACACAGGACTCCCGTCGCTAACCTCCACTTCATCCACCCCACCCCTATACGGTGTGTGACATCCTCGTCGATCTCCCCGGTCCCCTGAATAACTGACCCAAGGTACTTGAAACTACCCCTCTTAGGGAAGACTTGAGAGTCAAGCCTCACTTCCACTCCCGCTTCCGTCGGCTCGGCCCCAAATTTGCGCTCGAGGTATTCCGTCTTCGTCCTGCTCAACCTGAAACCTTTTGACTCAAGGGCATGTCTCCAAACCTCTAGCCTCTCGTTGACGCCGCGTCGTGTCTCGTCAATTAGGACTATGTCATCAGCAAATAGCATGCACTATGGCACCTCCCCTTGAATATGATGCGTTATGGCATCCATCACCAGGGCAAATAGGAAAGGGCTGAACGCAGACCCGCGTCGTGGTGAATATATTAAAAGGCTTTAAATTTATAAAAATACCACGTAGTTGAGACAGAAAAGGTAATATCAGTCCATCGGACTGGGTAAAACCTGAATTAACCGTGGTGCACTTGCAGAAAACTCCTTGCCGAGGGCCTGTGCACCCCCAGAATTAGTCGGGGCTCTTAGAGACTCGGACACCCGGTGCAAATCAAAAAAATAAAAAAGGTAATGTCAGTTTCACTGATTGACAAAGGAAAGGATTTTTACTCAGGTTTTAGGAACTAAGAGAAATTCCAAATCAGTATTTTACAAACCACATAAGCCTCAATTTATGGATACAACAGGCAGCGAAAAGTTAAGAATAATTGTATAAGTGGCAAACCTGGAGGAAACCCCATTCTTGACAAGCTGAGTGAAGCTTTTGACGCTCAGAATCCATGGAATCCCCTGAAATCAACTTTTTAAGATCGATAACAGGGACAGCATGAACCACTGATCCGTCAGATATGACCAGAGATTCTTGTTCTGGGCGAACATACCTGGCTGGAATCTTGGTTAGGTGCTCTTTTTCAAGCTCTTGAACACTTGGCACTAACAGAGATTTCCCAAAGTTCACTACGGCCAGTGGTGACTCCATTGGCTCACACAATCCTGTTGAGCTCTTGGAAACTTGAATGTATTAATGTGTGAATGAAAACTGTGAGAAAGCACGGGAGAAAATATATTATTGATGTATTGACATATGTTACAATGAGCCCTATATATATACACACATAACATGTCCTACTCCTAATATATATTGGATTAGGGTTATTTATTTACTCCTATTTACATGACTATTCTAACACTCCCCCTCAAGTTGGTGCATATAAATCATATGTACCGAGCTTGTTACATATGTAGTTAATACGAGGACCAGTTAGGGACTTGGTGAAAATATTTGCAAGTTGATCATTCGACTTCACAAACTTTGTAGCAATATCTCCCGAGAGTATCTTTTCTCTAACAAAGTGACAGTCAATCTCAATGTGTTTAGTTCTCTCATGGAACACTGGATTTGACGCAATATGAAGAGCAGCTTGATTATCACACACAAGTCCCATCTGACTAATCTCACCAAATTTCAACTCCTTGAGCAACTGTTTGATCCAAATTAGCTCACATGTCGCCATAGCCATTGCTCGATATTCTGCTTCTGCACTAGACCGAGCAACCACATTCTGTTTCTTGCTCTTCCAGGACACCAAATTTCCTCCTACCAAGACACAATATCCAGACGTAGAACGTCTATCAGAAGGTGATCCTGCCCAATCAGCATCTGAGTATCCAACGATCTGCTTATGGCCTCGACCCTCAAACAATAAACCTTTGCCTGGAGCTGATTTTATATACTGAAGAATGCGAACAACTGCATCCCAATGACTATCACACGGAGAATCCATAAACTGACTCACAACACTCACAGAAAAGGAAATGTCAGGTCTTGTCACTGTAAGGTAATTTAATTTACCAACCAACCGTCTATATCTTGCAGCATCGCTAAGAGGCTCTCCCTGTCCTAGCAGAAGTCTAGAATTCGGATCCATCGGAGTGTCAACCGGTCTACAACCTGTCATTCCTGTCTCTTCAAGAATATCTAAGGCATACTTTCGTTGTGAGATCACAACACCTGAGCTAGACTGAGCGACCTCAATACCCAGAAAATACTTTAGTTTGCCCAGATCCTTAGTCTGAAAGTGTTGCAAGAGATGTTGCTTCAATTTAGTAATACCATCCTGGTCATTGCCGGTAATAACAATGTCGTCAACATAGACCACCAGATAAATACAGAGACTCGAGGCAGAATGCCGATAGAATACAGAGTGATCAGCTTCACTCTGAATCATGCCAAATTCTCGAATAACTGTGCTGAACTTACCAAACCAGGCTCGAGGAGACTGCTTTAAGCCATAAAAAGTGACCGACGCAAGCGANTTGATGAAGACTGCTTAACCCGTTTAAATTTCTATCAGAATAATTGTAACCCTAGGCCAGGAATTTTAGGTTATTCCGTATGCCTTACAGGTCGTGACTCATCATTTAGTACGGGCTAGCTTTTTGCCTATCATCTAAAATCGTTAGTAAAATTTTAACAATTCAAAAAAAATTAAATATAAAATGGTGATACCTGACCATGGGTATTCCTTAGAAGTAATATTTCTTCAAATGAACAGCATTCCAATTTGAAGGTAGTACTTTGCCATCCATTGTCTCCAATTCATATGCTCCCTTGCCTGCAATATCACGAACTTTATAGGGTCCTTCCCAAGTTGGACTCAATTTACCCGTATTGGCTGCCTTTGTAGACTGGAAAACCTTTTTAAGTACAAAGTCCCCAACTTTAAAGAATCTCAGGCGTGCTTTCCTGTTGTAATATCGTTCGATCACTTGTTTTTGTGCTGCCATTCTTATTAACGCAGCTTCTCTCCTGCCTTCCGGTAGATCCAAATTGACCTGCATCTCTTCGTCATTAGATTCTTGTGTCGCTTGCATGAATCGTGTGCTTGGTTCTCCTATCTCAACTGGAATCAAAGCCTCAGCTCCATAAACTAACGAAAAGGGTGTTTCTCCTGTGCTCGTTTTTGTTGTTGTGCGATATGCCCATAAAACACTAGGTAGCACCTCTGACCAATTTCCTTTTGATTCTTCCAAACGCTTCTTTAAATTATTGACAATAACCTTGTTTGTAGATTCTGCTTGCCCATTACCTACGGGATGATAAGGTGTGGACGTAATCCTTTTAATTTGCCAACTTTGAAAAAATTCTGTGACTTGAGCTCCAATAAATTGAGGACCATTGTCAAATACGATCTCCTTTGGTACGCCAAATCAGCATATGATGTTTCGCCAAATAAAATCTTTGACTTCCTTTTCTCGTACCTGTTTGAAGGCTCCTGCCTCTACCCGTAAAATAATCAGTAAGTATGAGCACAAATTTTACCTGTCCTTTTGCTTGTGGTAATGGACCCACAATATCCATTCCCCATTTCATGAATGGCCATGGTGCGATGACCGGATGTAATAATTTCGCGGGTCTATGCATGTTGTTACTATACCTTTGACATTTATCACATTTGGTCACGAAACTTTCCGCTTCTTCTTCCATTTTTGGCCAATAGTAACCTTCCCTGATTAAGGTTCTTACCAATGATCTTCTTCCAGCGTGATTTCCACAATGCCCCTCATGTATTTCCCTCATTACGTATTCTGTTTGAGAAGGACCAAGGCATCTAGCTAAGGGGCCACCGAACATTTTACGATATTGGTTGCCTTTATTTAAACAGTAGTGAGCATCCTTTTTGCGAAGTGCATGGGCTTTTTTCTTGTCATGAGGGACAGTTCCATACTGCAAAAAAGCTACAATCTCGTTCCTCCAATCCCAAGTTAAATTATTAAAATTTACCTCATTCTTGTCAGGGTCGAGAACTGAATGAAATAAATGAATAACTGAGGTATTTGCATTGCTTGCCACGTCAGCCGCAGATGCGAGATTAGCTAAAGCGTCTGCTTCAAGATTTTCATCCCTTGGTATTTGTGTAACTTTCCAAGTTTGAAATTGCCTTATTAGCTCCCACACCTTTTCTAAATATTGTTGCATCCTTGCTTCCCTGGCTGTATAAGTCCCCAGCATTTGATTAACCACGAGTTGCGAATCGCTCTTGATTATAATCTGATTTATGCCAAGTTCTCGTGCCAGTTCTAAACCTGCAATCACAGCCTCATACTCTGCCTCATTGTTAGTTATTGAATGATATTTGATAGCTTGTCGAATGGTTTCACCCGTAGGTGGTACCAAAACAATCCCTAAACCTGCTCCTTTTACATTAGATGAACCATCAACGAATAAAGTCCAAGTTCCTGGATTAGCTCCATTGAACACCTGTAATTTTTTTTTGTGCTTCTAACTGCATGTTGTGGTTAAAATCAGCCACGAAATCAGTTAACACTTGTGATTTTATAGCAGTTCTAGGTTGGTACGTGATTTCGTATTCACTTAACTCTATTGCCCACTTAGCCAACCTACCTGATAATTCATGCTTATGCAATAAGTATTTCAGGGATTGTCTCAATGGCCTTAATCTGTGCAGGATTCACCTCAATACCACGGTTAGAAACAAGAAAACCTAAAAATTTACCTGATGCCACACCAAATGCACATTTTTCAGGATTTAACTTCATGTTATATTTTTGCAAAATTTTAAAGGTTTTAGATAGATGCGATATATGATCTCCTGAATGCTGAGTTTTAACAAGCATATCATCTATATATACCTCCATAGTTTTTCCCAAATGCTCTTGAAACATTTCGGTAACTAATCTCTGATACGTTGCTCCTGCATTCTATAGACCAAAGGGCATTACTTTATAATAGTAAGTCCCCCTGTCTGTTATGAAGGAAGTTTTTTATTCATCTCCTGGATCCATTTTAATCTGATTATACCCTGAATATGCATCTAAAAAACTTAATAGTTCATGACCTGCAGTTGCATCAATCAATTGATCTATGTGTGGCAGTGGAAAAGAATCTTTAGGGCAGGCTTTATTAAGATCTGTGTAATCTACCCAAACCCGTCACTTACCGTTCTTTTTTGGAACTACAACAGTGTTGGCTAACTAGTTAGGATACTTCACCTCACGAATAGAGCCAATTTTTAGCAATTTTTGGACTTCTTCTTGAATCACCTGATTCTTGAAAGTTCCTTGCTTTCTTTTCTTTTGCTTGACTGGAGGGTATGATGGATCTTCATTCAATTTATGAGTCATGACCTCCGGTGGTATCCCTGTCATTTCAGAATGGGACCAAGCAAAACAATCTGCATTAGCTTTTAAAAATTCAATCAATTTACGCTTTACCTCCGGGCTAAGATTAGCTCCTATATACACTTTTCTATCGGGCCAATGTATAGATAAAACCACAGCCTCTAACTCTTCTATCGTTGTTTTGATGTTATCGTTCTCTTCTGGTTCTTGAATGGTATCAGGTCTTGAATCCACATCTGTTTGCCCTTGTTCAGTTGAGGTTGACACCGTATTACCCTCACCTGAATTCTGTAATTGCTATTTATCTTCACCCTTAACAGTTGAATCTGCAACGGAATTGATGCTTCCAGATGTCTGTTGATCGCCTCTGATTTGACATATTCCCCATGGTGATAGAAATTTAATAACTTGATGTAAGGTTGATGGAACAGCATCCATGGATCCATGGCCTCCCAAGAATCATGTTGTAAGCCATTTCCATATCTACGACCTGAAACTTTGTGTCTTTGATGACTCCTTCAGCAAATGTGGTGAGCGTTACCTCTCCTTTTGTAACGACGCTGGAATTATCAAACCCAGATAGAGTATGTGCCTTTGGTATTACTTTTTCTTCAGCTTGCATCTCACGCAATACTCGTATCAAAATAATATTCACAGAACTACCTGGATCAATCAAAACTCGTTTCACGTTAGTGTCATGTACAAGTAAAGATATTACCAGTGCGTCGTTATGTGGAGTTAATAGACCCTCGGCATCTGCATCATCGAACGTAATATTTTCTCCCTCCAAGACATGTCGAGGCCGCTTCCCGTGGGTAATTGTTACTTTTGAAACCT